CCCCCCGCCCCATACACACACACACGGGAGATTTGTTTCACATCTAAGATCAGCGTCCCCGATTCCTGATTGCTGGCCCCTAAACTTGAACCTTTCCCCAATCCTTTTGAACTTATCTGTACCCATATCCCCAGACCCTGTCCTGTTCATCTTTCTCCATTCTAATTGGTTTTCAATTCCCTGATCCATTCTACTCCAAAACTCCTAAATCCATAGCCCTTTCCAGCTCTCATAAGCCCCGGTGAACAAGGACCCCTGTCCCCTTCCTTCCTGCAGTGTCTGGCTGCCAGCTGCCTGGGCCTGGGGCGCCTCCTGGGTGACTGCCAGGCCTGCCTGGCCTTCAGCAGCCCTGCAGCTCCTCCCCGGGGACCTGGTGCCCTGGGCTGGTGTGTGCACAATGAGAGCTGCCTCCCTCGGCCTGGTGAGTGACCAGTGGAAGTGTGGGAGGGGGCACTGCTGCACCCCACACTGACCCCCCATCCTGTCCTTATAGAGCAGGCCCACTGCCGAGGAGAGCAGATCTCAGGCACCGTGGGCTGGTGGGGGCCTGCACCTGTCTTCGTCACATCCCTGGAGGCCTGTGTCACCCAGAGCTTCCTGCCTGGCCTGCACCTCCTCACCTTCCAACAGCCACCCAACGCCTCCCAACCTGACAAGGTGGGGAGCTGGGGATGGAGTGTTGAAGGGCTGGTCCTAGGGTTTTTGTTTTCCAAATAGATCTTTACCACTTATATGTTTACCCTGTAAGTCTCTACATTCAAGGGTCTGATTTTCCTTACTGAGTCAAAAACATTTTTAAAATGTTTTTAAAATTGTGATAGCCCTGGCCCATATGGCTCAGTGGGCTGAACATTGTCCCATGCACCGAAAGGTTGCCAGGTCGATTCCCGGTCAGGGCACAGGCCCAGGTTGTGGGCTCCATCCCCATCAGAGTAGGTGCAGGAGAGCCGATCAATGTTTCACTTTCACATCGATATTTTTCTCTCTCTCTCTTCCTCTCTAAAATCAATAAAAACATATTTTGAAAAGCCCAGGTGGCGTGGCTCAGTGGTAGAGCATTGACCTATGAACCAGGAGGTCATGGTTTGATTCGCAGTCAGGGTACGTGCCCCGGTTACAGGTTTGCTCCCGTCTGGGGCGTGTAGGAGGCAGCCGATCAATGATTCTCTCTCATCATTGATGTTTTTATCTTTCTCTCCCTCTATACTTCCTCTCTAAAATAAAATATATCTAAAAAAATAAAATTGTGGTAAAATACACATAACATAAAATTTATCATTAGTGACATTTAGCACATTCATAATATTTGCAACTGTCACCACTATCTAGGTCCAGAAAATTTTCATCACCCCAAAGGAAACCCTGATTCATTAAGTAATTACTCTCCATTCCCTTCTCCCCTAGCCCTTAGCAACCACTAATCTGTTTTCTGCCTCTGAATTTGCCAGCTGTAGATACGTCATATCAAAGAAATCATGTAACATGTGGCCTTTTGTGACTGGCTTCTTTCACTTAGCATGTTTTCGAGGCTCATCATGCATCAGAACTTCATTCCTTTTATGGCTGAACTAGAGGCCCAGTGCACGAAATTCATGCACAGGTAGGGTCCCTAGTGGCTGCGGGCTGCCAGCTGGGGCCTTCTTTTGTTCCGTGCCGCCCCCTGGTGGTCAGTGCATGTCATAGCGAGTGATCAAATGCCGGGTTGGTCACTTTGCACAAACTCCCGAGGAGACACTTTGCATATTAGGCTTTTATATATATGGATACTCTTCCATTGTATGGCTCTGCCACATCCATTTATCAGTTGGTGAACACTTGGGTTGTTTCCACCTTTTTGATATTGTGAATAGTGCTGCTATGAATATTCATGCACGTTTTTTGTTTAAACACCTATTTGGGTCTGTATCTACGGGCAGAATTGCTAGGTCTTTGTTTAACTTATTGAAGAACTACCAAACTTTTTTTTTTATAGAAGTTCCTATTGATTTTTAAAGCAGGTAATATAGTCCCATCATTTGCAATTCACAGCGATGTAAAAAGCTTTTGAGTGAAAAGTCTCCCATCTACCCCACGCCCTCCCTTCTCATTGTAGGAAGCTGGCCTTCTTATCCCCCCAACTCAAGACCAACCTAACTCTCTCCAGATCTGTTTGTATTTCTTTGATATCTTTCCATGGTCTACTTATTTCAATACAAGTAAATGTGACTTTTTTTTAAAGGCATACAACTTTTTTTTAAAACTTTTAAAAATTTTATTTTAATATATTTTATTGATTTTTTACAGAGAGGAGGGGAGAGGGATAGAGAGTTAGAAACATCGATGAGAGAGAAACATCGATCAGCTCCCTCCTGCACACCCCCTACTGGGGATGCGCCTGCAACCAAGGTACATGCCCTTGACTGGAATCGAACCTGGGACTCTTCAGTCCGCAGGCCGACACTCTATCCACTGAGCCAAACTGGTCAGGGCAAGTAAATGTGACTTTTAATCATTTTTCTTTCTTGCACAAAAAGTAGTATATTATCCACACTATACCACCACATCCTTTTTTTCTTAACGCATCCCATTAGAGAACTTAGGAAACATTCTTATTATCTTTACAACTGCATAATACTCCATTTATTTTCTAACACCTAGAACTGTTGTTTATTTAAGTAGTCTCCCATAATGAACACTTGGCCTATTCCATTCATTTGCAATTACAAAAACACACACTTAGCAAAAAATCATGTCTGTCACTTTGAATGTTTTATCCGGAATCTTTTTATTTATTATTATTATTATTATTATTATTATTATTAATCCTCACCTGAAGGGAGGGAGGGAGGGAGGGAGGGAGAGAGAAATGATTGGTTGCCTTCCTTACATGCCCTGACTGGGATTTGAACCCATAACCTTTGGTTGAGCTTGTGTTCAACCAACTGATCCACACTGGCCAGGGCTGGAATCTCCTTTTTTATTTTATTTATTTACTTATTTTTAAATGTATTTTTATTGATTTTAAAGAGGAAGGGAGAGGGAGAGAGAGATAGAAACATTAATGATGAGAGAGAATCATTAATCGGCTGCCTCTTGCAAGCCCCCTACTAGGGATGGAGCCTGCAACCTGGGCACGTGCCCCCAACCAGAATCAAACCTGGGACTCTTTAGTCCGCAGACCAACACTCCATCTACTGAGTCAAACCAATTAGGGCTGGAATCTCCTTTTAAAAAAAACCTTGTGTACTTGTTGATTATATAACAGAGGATATGATACATAGGGTGAGGTCCAGAGGCTGAGCAAAGGAGCTTCTGTGCCCATGGAGTTGGGTGCGACATCCTCCAGGCACATAGGTGTATTCATTAGCCTGGAAGTGTTCCATAACCCGTAGCTAAGGGATTTTATTTAATTTTTTTTGTTATCTAGACTCCTGAGGGCTTAGGTGGAAAGGTGGGGCATTGGGGAAGAGGATCCTGAAGTTTCATGAGGGGGGGGATGAGCAGGGCTGGGACCCTGTTTTCTGAGTTGGCGTCCTGACTCTTAGTTATCCCAGGTGAGCAGCCTCCCCTGCCCTGGCCTCGGTCTCATTCCATGAAATAGGGAAGGAGGTTGAGTTGCCTGACCTTTCCTGGCTCTGATGTGGCCTGAGGGGTGTGGGGACTGGGCCACGCAGAGGCACTCATTCATACCCCTTCCCCGGCTGGCACAGGTCTTGATTGTCCGCAGCACAACCATCACCCTGACACCCAGCCCCGAGACCGACGTATCACTCGTCTACCGTGGCTTCATCCACCCACTGCTTCCGGGAGGGCCCGGTGGGCCAGGGGCTGAGGACGTGGCTGTGTGGGCCCGAGCCCAGCGCCTACACGTCCTGGCCCGGATGGCCCGTGGCCCTGACCCAGAGAGCATGGTGAGGGCGCCTGGGACACTCAGGGCTGTTTATGGGCAATACGGGTGAGGGGTGTGTGGTGCCGAGAAGACGAGGGAGAAATCCTTAGGCAGATGTATCCTTAGTGGAGGGAGGGCCATGGAGTGTTCAGTTGTGAACACAGTTTGGGAAATTGTGAAGAGGGTGGGGAAGGTTTGTCTTACCAAGTCAGATTCCCCTGAGGAGGAGGAGGGTCCTGGTAAATTTGGGGGCACTTGAGGTTCTCGGAGTCTAAGGAACCCTGAGGCGCCCCTCCTCTTCCCAGGAGGAGGTGGCTGCTAGGTGGGTTTGAAGCTCTCAGAGGTTTCAGAGATGGGGGCCGTGGCAAGTCCTCAGGCCCCGTCTGTCCTCACCCTATTGCAGGAGGAAGTGGGGCGCTGGGTGGCTCAGCAGGAGAAAGAGACGAGGCGGCTACAGCGCCCAGGCTCTGCTCGCCTCTTCCCACTGCCTGGCCGGGGCCACAAGTACGCGGTGGAGATCCGAGGCCAGCTCAACGGCTCGGCGGGCCCTGGGCACAGCGAGCTCACCCTGCTGTGGGACCGGACTGGTGTGCCAGGTGGCAGCGTGAGTCCCCAGACCCAGGCCTTCTGAACCCCAGGCCACAACCTTGGCTTCTGAACTCGGGACTCGCCTTGCACCCTCCAGACTCCGCTTTCTGACCCCCAGACTCTGACCTGACCTGACATTCTGACCCCTGCCCACATCTGTACCTCTTCCTTCCCTGACCCCGCTGCCCCTGACTTCTGCCCTCCGTACTTCGACCTCTGATCTCTAGAATGTTTCAAATACTGATCCCCTTTTGTCTGCTAATGGCCTAAATTCTGACTTGGTACATGCCTGACTTCTCAATCTTGTCTCTAAACACTTAGTCTTTAGCTCCAAACTCTGATCCCTACTTCACACCTTGACTCCTGACCCTCAAGTTGGAACATGGGCCCCTGACTTCCTATGCCTCCTCCCCCAGGAGATCTCCTTCTTCTTCCTGGAACCCTACCGCTCCATGGCCTGCGCCTCCTACTCCTCCTGCCTGGGCTGCCTGGCAGACCAGGGCTGCGGCTGGTGCCTGGCCAGCTCCACCTGCCACCTGCGCCAGAGCGGGGCTCACTGCATGGACAGTGGGGCCCGCGGGTCCTTGCTGGTGCTGGTGCCTGCCCTCTGCCCGCTCTGTGAGGAGCATCGCGACTGCCACGCCTGCACCCAGGTGCCTGCCAGGCCACTGGGGGAGCCATTTCAAGTTGGAGGCAACCAAAGCAGGGGACTGGGGAGGAGGGACATGGGCAGCCAAGGGTCCCCAAGGTGGCAGTATGGGGCATAGCTGGGGCCATTGTCTTTGAGCTGTAGGTAGACATGAGCCAGGTGGGGAGCAGAGGAGAGGGACTGGAGAGGGGGCTCCTGGCAGTCAGGACTTTAGGGGCCAGAAAACCCAATGCGTCGTCTCTTCACCAGAGGGGCATTTATCGGCTTGGGCTGCAGAGTCCACGGGTAGGCCTTCAGGCCTGTGACTTCCGATGGTTTAGACCAGTGATGGCGAACCTATGACACGCGTGTCAGAGGTGACACATGAACTCATTTTTTTGGTTGATTTCTCTTTGTTAAATGGCATTTAAATATATAAAATAAATATCAAAATATAAGTTTTTGTTTTACTATGGTTGCAAATATCAAAAAATTTCTATATGTGACACAGCACCAGAGTTAAGTTAGGGTTTTTCAAAATGCTGACACGCCGAGCTCAAAAGGTTCACCATCACTGGTTTAGACCATGGTTTCCCTGGAGGGTCATTCCTTGAGAATGGCAAGGGAGCCACAGGGCTCCAGACTTGCACCCCTCGCTCAGCCAAATGGAAAGAGTACCTTTCTGTCCCCACCCCACTGTCACCCCCCAGGTCCACAGGGGTCCCAGAAGTACATTTTACTGCCTCTGGTTGGGTCTTGTGCCAGCTCTAGGATCAGTCAGTGTGGCCAGGGGTGGGGGTGGCCCCTTGCCTACCTCTGGATCCCAAGGATTGCATTTGCCCCACCTGGACCATACAAAGGGATTCTTGTGCCCAAAACGCGAGAGGGTGCTGGGCAGCCAGAAGCCATGGATGTTGCTGGCTGAAGGGGAAAGTCTGGAGAGGCAGGCATGGGAGAGGGCAGGGGCTTGGAGGGGTGGTCTTAGGGGTTGGGTAGGTGAGGGAAGCAAGGTACTGGGAGCCCAAGAGAGAGGGCTAAGCTGGGCTCTTACTTCTCCAACCCCCAGGACCCCTTCTGTGAGTGGCATCAGAGCACCAACCGCAAAGGGGATGCGGCATGCAGCCGGCGAGGCCGGGGTCAGGGTGCCCTGAAGAGCCCAGAGGAGTGTCCCCCGCTCTGCAGCCAGTGAGCCCCACTGGGCCCAGGGAGCAGGTGTGGGTGTGTGTGTGTGTATAAACCAGCCCTGGCGTGACCCTGTCCTCACTCCTCACTCCCAGGCGCCTGACCTGTGACGACTGCCTGGCCAACTCGAGCCAGTGTGCCTGGTGCCAGTCCACCCACACCTGTTTTCTGTTTGCTGCCTACTTGGCCCGGTACCCATATGGGGGCTGCCGAGGCTGGGATGACAGGTGCGGTCAGGGTGGGTAGCTGGGCTTATGGGGCGGAGGTTGGAGAGGCGGAGGTGGCCGGGCTCTGACACCTTCACACCTGCTACCCTGCAGCGTGCACTCAGAGCCCCGGTGCCGGAGCTGTGACCGCTTCCTGACCTGCCACGAGTGTCTGCAGAGCCATGAGTGTGGCTGGTGCGGCAACGAGGACAACCCCACACTGGGGCGGTGAGGCCTGGGCGGTGGGGCGGGTGGATGGGCAGGATGGGTGGGCAGCTCTCCACGGCCCTAATTCTAACGGCTGCCCTGTTTCTCTGCCTCTTTGCCTTTTCCTCGCCATCATCTCTGTTTTTCTCCCTCCCCGATTTTCTTAGTTTTTCTCTTTTCTCCCTCTTCACTCTGTCCCTGCTTCTGTGACTTGTTTTCTCTCATTGTCCTTCCTTCTGCTTGACCTCCTGTTTCTGTCTCTCCTTTCATTGTGTCCCTGTCTCTGTCTCGCTTCTGTCTTTCACTGTCATTTTTGTTTGATTACTCTGTTGCTTCCATTTCTCCTTCTCTCTCTCTCTCTCCATATTTATATTTCTCTCTCTCTATGACTTTCTCTCTCCTTGTAACTATTTCCATCTCTTGTTTCTTTATCATCTCCCACCCCACCACCTTCTTCAATCTCCCACCCTCCAGGTGCCTCCAGGGGGACTTCTCAGGGCCCCTGGGTGGGGGTAACTGCTCCCTGTGGGTGGGGGAGGGCCTGGGGCTGTCCGTGGCCCTCCCTGCCCGCTGGGCGTATGCCCGCTGTCCTGACGTGGATGAGTGTCGCCTGGGCCTGGCGCGGTGCCACCTGCGGGCGACCTGCCTGAACACGCCCCTCAGCTACGAGTGTCACTGCCAGCGAGGCTACCAGGGTGACGGCATCACATACTGCAATCGCACGTGAGTGGGGCATGGGTTTCCATGGAGATGCTGCCCCGGGGCTGGGGCAGGTGGAGATGGGGGAGGAAGCGATCGTGGTGCTGGAATCCCTGCTGTGGAACCAGCATCCCAGTGAGCCCCAGGTTTTTACCTTGCAGACTAGGTCCTCATTAGAGTGACAGGGTCCCCAGTGTAACACTCCTTACTGTGGAGGCAGGTCACCCATGTACTTGTAATCTTCAGAGTTGCCATGGAGATGGAGGAGAACCAAGTTGAAAGGGGTTTTCATAGAGAACAGATCACTAGTAGTGATGTATAGTTACTATAGAGACAAGAGTTCCCATGTGTGATGGGGTTACCTTGGAGACAAGGCCACCCACATAGTCTAGGACTGGTGGAATGGGCAGTAGCTTGTGATAGTGTTGCCATGGAGATGATGGGGTGGAATGGGATGGCAGGGGATCCTTGGGCACTCTGGGCCTGGCCAGCCCTTCCCCCACCCCTGTCATGGCCCCTCAGGTGCCTGGAGGACTGCGGCCATGGTGTGTGCAGTGGACCCCCTGATTTCACCTGCGTGTGTGACCTGGGCTGGACATCTGATCTGCCCCCGCCCACGCCTGCCCCGGGACCCCCCGGTCCCCGCTGCTCCAGAGACTGTGGCTGCAACTTTCACAGCCATTGCCGAAAGCGGGGGCCTGGCTTCTGCGATGAGTGCCAGGGTGAGCTGCCTTCCTCCCAGACGCCCCTGGACTGGCCTCAAGGGAGCCTCCTCGGGGTTCCAGTTTTCTTTTCTCGGTGTGGGCTTCAGTGTCCCCTCATCCCACTACCTGCTCCTGACCCCTGACCTGCTTCAGTGGCACTCATCTCATTGGTGGGGCCTTAGTCCCCACCCTTAGGACTTGCTATTCCCCCAAGTCTGGGCCTTGGTTACCCTCCTTTGAAGCAGCCTGATGAGATCAGGGATCTGGTGAGCCAGTTGGGCAGGCCCCTTCCCACCCTTGTCCCTGACTCTTTGTCCTGCCTGCTGGGCCCTCCACAGACTGGACCTGGGGGGAGCACTGTGAACGGTGCCGACCCGGCAGCTTTGGCAACGCCACGGGCTCGGGTGGCTGCCGGCCCTGCCAGTGCAATGGGCATGGGGACCCACGCCGTGGCCACTGCGACAACCTCAGCGGGCTCTGCTTCTGCCAGGACCACACCGAAGGTGCTCATTGCCAGCTCTGCATCCCTGGCTACTATGGGGACCCCCGGTGAGCCAGGGGCCAGACAGGTGGGGTAGGGGTTAGGGACATGTGGGATGGGGCAGGACTGGTCTGACACTGGCTCTTCTCCATCTCCCCAGGGCCGGTGGCTCCTGCTTCCGGGAGTGTGGGGGCCGCGCCCTCCTCACCAACGTGTCCTCAGTGGCACTGGGCTCACGCCGGGTTGGGGGGCTGCTGCCTCCAGGTGGTGGGGCAGTGAGAGCCGGGCCAGGCCTTTCATATTGTGTGTGGGTTGTCTCGGCCACTGAGGTGCTACAGCCCTGTGCTCCTGGGACCCTCTGTCCCCCACTCACCCTCACCTTCTCCCCCGACAGCAGCACCCCCTGCACGGTGAGCTCCGAGGGCACTAGGGTTCAGACCTTTATTTTCCCCACCCAGTTGGACTCCTTATACACCCTGACCCCCATTATCCCATTTTTTTATCCTTCAAACCCCAAACTCTAGTCCTTCAACCCCCAGCCCAAAGACCTTCCCATTTCCCAGATCACTCTCGTTTCCTGGACTTCAAGTCTCCAACCCCCAGATCCTCAAACTGCCTTCCTCAGTGCAGCATGGTAAATATACGGCGTGTGGTAGCTCTCACCAGCTGGTGGTGGCCACCAGGAGCTGTGTAGTGAGAAAGAGGCACCAGGTGAGAGTGTCTGATTGATTAGCCATGTCTGCTGTCAACACAGGAGGGGGAATGGTGGTCTCCATGCCACAGTTTGACAGTCTGCCCAGCATGTTCAAACAGCCCATTTCCCTGTCTCAGATTGTCCTCTCCTCTTGAACTCCTCCTCCTCCCAGACCCCAAGCATCCCTCTTTCTCATCCTCATCACCTAATCCTCACTCTGCACCCCTCCAGCTGAGCTACGTGCTGGCCTTTGATGGCTTCCCACGCTTCCTGGACACAGGCGTTGTGCAGTCGGACCGGAGCCTCATTGCTGCCTTCTGCGGCCAGCGGCGGGACAGGCCCCTCACTGTGCAGGCCCTCTCTGGTATGGGGACCAGGGAGGTGGGGCCTCTGTCCTGGGCTGTGTATCCCTCGCTCCCCTGCATCTTGCTGACCAAGGTGGGCTTAAGACCCAGCCCACCTCTGCCACGGACTTGCTGGGTGAGGCAACCCCTTGCCACCTGTGGGTCTCTGTGTCTTCAGCTGAGAGGCAAATAGAGTATTGCTGGGCTGCCTCTGGAGGGAAGGGCCAAGCGGGTGTGTCTTTGGGCACACAGACGGGCTGGTGCGAGGGCCCTGAAACCTCCTCAGCCTCAGTTCCCTACCCTGCTGATGACGTCCTCGGGGCATGTGGCTGGTGGTCATGATTGGGGGTGCTACTGGTATCTCATGGGTAGAGGCCAGAGGTGCTGCTCTATATCCTACAGTGCACAGGACAGCCCCACAACCAGGCTCAGCAGGGCTGAGGGAAGCCCAGCTCAGGCTGATGGAAATGCCCTAGAAGTAATTTGTTAAGATGGCAGTTAAGGGCCCAAGTCTGGAAATGCTTCCTTTCGTACTGCAAATCAGAGTAGCTCCAAGGCTGGGAGAGAGAGGCAGAGTTGTAGCTGGCAACCCAGACCCCTCACAGTGAGCGAAGAACCGAGGGGCCCTCATTTCGTTTCACTCACCAGGTATTTACCGAGCACCTGCAGTGAGCCAGGCCTGAGCTAGAGGTTAAGGGTGCAGCAGTGAACTAGGGGCACAAGTGCTGCCCATGGTTCACTGTGTGCGCGTGTGTGAGGTGGGGACATCTAACAAAGTACATTCAGAATAGTGAGGGACGGAAGGGAGTGGAAGAGAGTGCTTAGTCTGTCAGGGGGAGTCCGGGAGAGCTTCTGTGCAGAGGTGAAGTCTCATTTGAGACCTGAAGGGGGCGGTGTGGGTAAGGGGGACTCCTCAGGGGAGGATTAGCAGGTGCCTGGGCCCTGAGAGGCAGGAGCAGGGCCTGGTGCTGGAGCCAGAGGGCCAGGGGAAGGCGATGACATCAGAGGGCCTTCGGGGCCTTTTTTTCCCCCAATATAATGTTGACTCATTTTTTACATATTATTAATTCCTGCCTCCCCTGCCTCCTTCCTCCTCCTCCGCCCCCACATCTTTTTAAGGAGACTTTGAAAGAACAGTAGGGAGTTGTGGAAGGTTTGGGGCTTGCGAGGGACAGGTTCAGATTCATGTTTTTTAAGGATCACGTGGGATGACTGAAGGGCAGAGTGTAGGTGAGCCAGGGAGACTAGTGGGGGCTCAGAGAACTGAGGATGTGGCAAGCAGTGGGTGAACAGGAGAGAGATTTAGGCTTTAAGACCAATAGAACTCGATGGGCTGGACAAGGGAGAGGGGTGCAGTGAGTATAGATGATCGGGTGGCTGGCTTCCCTGCCCAATTACATGGGTTTTTCTCAAAACCTGGGGATGGAGCCGCGCCTGGACCCTGGCCTTGCTACATGCCGCTGGCTTCTCTCCCAACAGGGCTGCTCGTGCTGCACTGGGAGGCCAACGGCTCCTCATCCTGGGGCTTCAACGCTTCAGTGGGCTCTGCCCGCTGTGGGTCAGGGGGCCCTGGGAGCTGCCCTGTTCCCCAGGAGTGTGTGCCCCAGGATGGGGCCGCAGGGGCTGGCCTCTGCCGCTGTCCCCAGGGCTGGGCTGGCCCACACTGTCGCATGGCTCTGTGTCCTGAAAACTGCAATGCCCACAACGGGGCAGGGACCTGTAACCAGGTACAGGCTGGATGGGGTGAGTTAGGTGGGACAGGGGTGGCGCTCAGGGCTCCCGCCGAGCATCCTCCTTCTGTCCCCCAGAGTCTGGGCGTGTGCATCTGTGCTGAGGGCTTCGGGGGCCCCGACTGTGCCACGAAGCTGGATGGCGGACAGCTGGTCTGGGAGACCCTTATGGACAGCCGCCTCTCAGCTGTGAGTTGTGGCAGCCCAGTTTCTGGGGAGGTTCCACACAGCCTGGGTCATTCTCCCTCCTCCGCTCCTGGGACCAATCCCCAGACCCTATCTATATTCAGCCTTATACTGTCATGACCTTAGCCTGACCCCTCATGTCTCCACCCCCACCCTCAGGACACTGCTAGCCGCTTCCTGCACCGCCTGGGGCACACCATGGTGGAGGGACCTGATGCCACCTTGTGGATGTTTGGGGGCCTGGGCCTCCCCCAGGGGCTGCTGGGAAACCTGTACAGGTGAGAACTGCCTGGGGAGGTGGGATACGTAAATGAGAGAGAGACGGTCACCTCAGCGATGCTGAGATACCTGTCACATAAGAGCCCCTCGGGGATGCAGAAAAGGACACTGTGACACTTGTGCCAGGAAGTTCGCCTCAGGGATGGATACTTACTTGGGTGGTGTTACTCTGGGGGATCCTAAGGTGACTGTCATAGGAGGGTCACCCTAGGGGATGCTGGGATATCTGCCAAGTGTGGGGTCACCCAGGGGATGCTGGGATGACTGGACAGTGAGGCTGCTTTTTTGTGTCGGCTCCAGGTACTCAGTGAGTGAGTGGAGGTGGACACAGATGCTGGCAGGAGCTGAGGACGGGGGCCCAGGCCCCTCACCCCGTTCCTTCCATGCAGCTGCTTATGTGCCCGCTGGCCGTGGTGCCATGTACCTGATGGGGGGGCTCACGGCGGGGGGCGTCGCTCGAGACTTCTGGGTCCTCAACCTCACCACCCTACAGTGGCGGCAGGAGAAGGTGAGCATGTCTCCCCACCCCAAGCCCTAAAACCGGGCTCTGGCTAAGATGACCAGGGAGCTCCTGCCATTTCTTCCCCAGAGAACATGGCTTCCTCCTGGGCTCCAGCACAAGTCCCGGAATTGAGTTTCATTGGCCGTCTGGGTCACACTGGGTTCCCCGGCTGATCTGGTCAAGGGGTCTGATGCCCTGGTGGGCCAGCCTGCGCAGCCAGAGCCAGAGCAGGGGGGCAAGGGCTTCCCGAAGGAGCACAGGCTGTTGCTGCCTGAAGAGGTGTCGCTGAGAGGCAGGCGTGGGAAGAGGCCTGCTGCACACCCGCTGGGACCGGGGCCGGGCCGAGGGCCTGTGGTCTGACCAGCCCGGGCAGCTCACTGTCTCCTTAGCGAGTTCAAGCGGAGTGTGGGGAGTTTTGAGTCTCGCTTCTACCCTCAAGATGACCCCTGACCTCTGGCCTCCCATGACCTCTGCCCTCTCTCTCTCAGGCCCCTCAGACTGTGGAACTCCCAGCTGTCGCTGGTCACACCCTCACGGCGCGCAGAGGCCTGTCCCTGCTCCTGGTGGGCGGTTACTCTCCTGAAAATGGCTTCAACCAGCAGCTGCTCGAGTACCAGCTGGCGACGGGCACCTGGGTATCCGGACCGCAGAGTGGGACGCCCCCCACAGGTGGGCTAGGGCCCGGAGAGCACAGCCGTCTCCAATCCACCCCACACTCTATGGCCGCTGCCCTCACCCCTTGTTACCTCCCTGTCTTCCCTTGACCATACCCACATCCTCAGGTACCGTCTCTTGAGAATGAGGAGTCAGTTTCTCTAATACCCTCCCCTTGACTCCATGAAAAGCTGCCCTTTTCCTGTCCAGTTACGCTGGTCACCATCCCTCCCCAGAGCACTGTCCCTCAGATAGTCTCCTCTCTCTTCCTCTCCTTCTGTTCTTGAATCACTGTCCCCAGGACATTCTGGCCACCCCGTCTCCCTCTTCCCTTCCCCAGAGCCTCTGATGGTTATCCTTTGAACTCACGGGAGAGAGAGGGGTTGGGAAGGGCTCCTGAGTCTGTGGCCTCAGCCTGGGAAGGTGTTGTGGTCATGAGAAGGGGAGCCCAGGAAGGTGGGGGCCTTTCTGATCCCCAGGCCTTCCCCAGCCTCTGTTCTCACCCCCGCCCCCCAGGTCTCTATGGTCATTCTGCCGTCTACCACGAGGCCACCGACTCTCTCTACGTGTTTGGGGGTTTCCGCTTCCACGTGGAGCTGGCAGCCCCGTCCCCCGAGCTCTACTCCCTGCACTGTCCTGACCGAACCTGGAGCCTGCTGGCCCCTTCTCAGGGGGCAAAGGTCAGGAAAGGTGGTCTTGACAGATGGATGTAGTGGGTGGAAGGGAGGGGGCCTCCCTATCCCAATGGTCCGGGACTAGTTCTAACCTGGACTCCTACTTCCCCTTCTTCACAGTCCCCTGAACTGAACTGTGGCATCCCAAGTCTCCCCTGCTTCCATCCCTGGCTTGGAAGAAAGAATCCTAGACTAGGAGTTCAGAGGCCGGGTTCTGCTCCTGCCCGTTCTTGGTGCAGCCCTGGCAGGCCCCTCCCCCTTCCTGGCCTCCCCATCTGGAACTGGGGCTCTGAGCTCCTTGCACTTCCTGCCTTCAAGGCCAAAAGAGAGAGGTGTGGGAGAATTTGCAACCTTGGATGTGCTGGATGGAGACAATTGCGTTTTCTGCCCACCCGACATATTTCCAAGTCCTTCACAGATGCCCCCAGCCCAGCTGGTGAGGTTACATGAAAATGTGAGGTCCATTTTAAGCAGTCTGGGCTAGTTCCTGGGGAGTAGCTTGTAACCAGTCTAGGGCCTGCAGTTGGTGCCAGGGGTCTGCTTGTCCAGGGACCAGACCCACAGGTAATGGAGCTCACAGAGCACAGGATGTGGGAGTGCAGGGAAAGGAGGTGGCTCTGGGGCCTGCTGAGGAAGGAGGGAGGTTTCCTGGAGGAAGGAGGTGGGATCTGAGGAAGGATCACTGGGTGGGCTGGTGGGCGCTGGGGTATAGGGAGAATCTGCGTGGCCAGTGGGCTGAGAGAGTGAGCAGAGGACTGTGGGCTCTGACAGGCCACCTGTCTCCCCAACAGCCCCGCCCCCGACTTTTCCACGCCTCAGCGCTGCTAGGGGACACCATGGTGGTCCTGGGGGGACGCTCGGACCCTGATGAGTTCAGCAGCGATGTGCTGCTCTACCAGGTCAACTGCAACTCCTGGCTGCTGCCTGACCTCACCCGTAAGTCCATTGCTGTCCCTGCGAGCCCCTGGCCTGGGACCCCTGCTCATTAGGAGTCACTTGGGTCCCTCAGACTCTCAGGCAAAGCCCCTAAACACCCAAGGGGATGCCCTCCTTCCTTCCTTTTTTTTTTTTTTCTTAGAAAATTTTATTTTGCTGCTTTTATTGGGGTCTGTGATGGGGGCCTAGGATTTCTACTGGCTCACTCATTATTGGTGAATTTAATACATAAGAGCAGGATTTAAAGCCCAGGAAGAGAAAACAAACAAGTAGCCCAAATAGTCAGATACTGAAATCAACCAAGTTCTCTAAAACAGAGGCGCCCCCATCAGGGAGGCGCCCGGCCCTATCTACCTGGCCCTGGGGTGGCAGCGTGACTCCAGATAGCCTTCCCTGAAGCAGATGCCTCTTTGACAAGGATGTCTGGCAGTCAGAGCTTCAGCCAGGCACTTGCATTACAAGAAGAAAAGCAGCAACTGTTGGGGCTGCACTGCAACATTTGTCTCATTCTTCATTCCACTTGCTGCTCCTCTATTTCTCTCTGTGTCTCTCCCCCTCTCTTTGGTTTTGCTCTCTGTGTCTGATTCCCTGGCCTGTCAGGCCTTGTCTGTCGTTCCCTGTCCTGCCCCAACTGTCTTTCCTCTCCTGAGCCTCTCTCACTGCTTGCTCGGTGTCCCTCTCTGGCTGGTATCTTTGTGCAGGCCTCTTCCCGGGGTCTCCTGCCTGTTCTCTCTTTCCCCAGGCCAGGCCTCTGTGGGGCCCCCGATGGAGGAGTCTGTGGCCCATGCTGTAGCGGCAGTGGGGGGCCGCCTGTACATCTCAGGGGGCTTTGGGGGAGTGGCCCTGGGCCGCCTGCTGGCCTTGACCATGCCCCCCGACCCCTGCCGCCTGCTGCCGTCACCTGAAGCTTGTAACCAGTCTGGGGCCTGCACCTGGTGCCATGGGGTCTGCTTGTCTGGGGACCAGGCCCACAGGTAATGGTGCTGACTGGCGGCTCAGGGGAGGGTGGTGCTGGTGCTCTCTGAGGGGGTTCTCTGCGGGCCAGGCTGGCTGCCGACTCACATGGGAATATGGGCAGCTCATTACAGGCAGGACGGGCTGGGCGACTCCGAGGGGCAGTCCTGCTTGTGGGAGCGTTATCCATGGGGTTCAGGCACCACCTGAAGGAGCTGGGTTTGAACTGGGCCCTAAATGCCAGGAGACTTTACACCAGCGAAGTTTCAGAGGTGGGGCTGCGATTGGCAAGACCACCTGAGTTTGGAGAACACGAGACTGGAAAGTTGGGAGGGGTCGGTTCAGAAGGCACGTCCCCAGTGCTTGGCTGAGGCACCGGCTCCATCCAGCCCACAGACCACCTCATCTGTAGTTTGGGAAGCTGGACGCGTCAGGAAGCTGAGCTCGCTGTCGTAGGTTTAGCACGGACTCATTTGGCTCTACTTGTCCCATTAAATGTGCCACCGTCTTTACTACAGCAGTAGAAGAGGGTTGGATTTATGGGGTGTTATGTAAGAATGAGTACATCCACTGCTTTTCTGAAGTCTGGAAAGTTCTGAAGCACACAGGCTTTCAAAGATTTTGGGTAAAGGGTTATGGACCTCCACGGTGAATGACAGGGAGCCACAAAGGTTTGTGCAGGAGGTGGCAGGGGCAGCTCTGGGCAGAAAGCGAGGTTGGGGCTATTGTGAGGGAGGGGAGGCCGCAGGTAGAAACGAGACAGGAGGCCAGGGCAAGGGGAAGAGGCCTGAACAAAGGTCTGCAGAGGTGGGCAGGAGGGGACGGTCAGAGAAATTCAAGAGGCTGAAAGCCTTGGTGCTGGAGGGGCAGGAGGATGTAACATATTGTTTGGTGTCACTGGCCTGGGTGACTGGTGGACATGGGACTATTGGCAGGTGGGATGGGGAAGGGGCAGGATTGAGTCTTGTGCTGAGTGCAGTTGGCATACAAGAGGGCCTGGAGGCGGGGATGGGAGGAGGAGGGACGAGGCCTGGCTGGTGGGATGAGCCAAGGCCTGGTGTC